TATCATCTCTATCCTGATTATTCTCAAATTTATCTATTCTGCTTGAAACTCTCTACTAACTTCAAATATCATATCTCCAACTGCTATTCTAATATCTTGAAACTAGATTCCAATGGACGTCTTAAATTCAGTCTATTCACAATAGAATTCATTATCTTTTTCAAATATACACACACATATATATATATACACAAACACGCACACACACATGTACATATATACACACATATATACATATATATACATATATACACGTATATACACACATTATATATTATATATATACACATAATATATTATATATATATATATATATATTATGTGTGTGTATTAGCATGATGTCTTCTCCATTACATTGTAATCCCTTTGAGGGAAAGGATTGCATTTCATCTCTTCTTGTATTCTCAGTGTTTATCATTATGCCTGGTATGTAATTGGTGCTTAATGAATGTTGATAGATTGATTCACTGGGTCCCAGTTATCCAACATCTTATGCAGGAGCAAGGTTTCCTTAAATGAATGAAGACAAAAGGATGGATTGTACAGCCAATAAATATTCCATGAAACTTGAAATTTTGGCCTTATGTAGTTATTTTGATAACAGAGAGATGGGTATGTGAGCTTGGATCCATCAATGTCAACTGTCATGCGGTCATGAAAATCCTACTTTGAAATACAGTATGCCATTTTCACACCAACATATAATGTCAAAGATCATTTTAAAGTGTCTAGAAGCCATGTGATCAATATAGTTACCTATTCCTTGTTAATAAGTTTTGCATTGTCCAGTAGGTCATTAACAATATTTCCAAATTGTGAGTTCAGAATTGGAAGCTCCTCTATTTGCACAACTCTAATCTCAGAAACACGGGACAGAAAATCCATCTGCTTGTTTTGTTCAGTTCCTAGATGTATTCTAAGATCTACAGCACATCATCATTTCTTTTCTGTGTGTGGTTGATAGGATCTTAGAGAATATTTAGTCCAAGCTTAAAAACATTTAAGCCCATGGAGGTTAAAGGATTTGCCCAAGGCCACATTGTTAGTAAATGTTAGGGACAAGATGGGAGACAGTTTTTTTTTTCCTGAATCCAAGTCCAATACTCTGTCCACTATGATACCTTGCTTTTTCTGTGCATAGAGAATTTTACCTATTTCTTTACATTCTTTCTCTCACTTAGGTCCATGCTCAAAAATTACCAACATTTTCTTTCTTTCCAATTTGCTGTGGATGAGATCAACAAGAATCCACGTTTGCTGCCCAACATAACCATGGGATATCAGTTGTTCAATAACTTTCATGACAGCAATTCAGCTGTGGAGAACTCCTTGATGTGGCTGTCAGGAAGGGGTCCAACCATTCCTAATTATAATTGTGACAGGCAGCACAAGTCAGTGCCTGTCATTGGAGGGATGTCAATGATAGTGTCCATGTCTATGGCCACCATGTTAGGTCTCTTTAAAGTCCCACAGGTAAGATAAACCAGGGCTGTTGCCCGTTTTATCCACTATGTTCTTTGCATTTAAAATAGCAATCCGTTATAATCTATCCTGATGCAGCATAAGTGATTCAACTTACATTTATCAAGAAATTCTAGAAATTCTGTTCTGTATCTCCTCTTCTGAAAACAGGAGATACAAAAAAGGGTAAGGGGAAAAATCTCTTTCATCAAGGAAGTCACTTTATTCTCTAGATGAGATTGTGCTGAGTTGGTTTATTTGGTTTAACTCCGATATTCTCAGTTCATCATTTTATATTTGTATAAACCTCTATAGACTTCAGATGGAAAAAAAAAAAGATTTCTCTTTCCCTCACCTAAGAATATCCCAAAGGAAAGGGCTCTGTTTCTTTTCATTTTGAAATTGAATTATGTTTTTTTTTCCCTACAAGGATACATTTCTAGTACTTCCTTTCAGTATTCTGTGCCAACAAGTATTATCCAATTCTTTGTTTATAATGATCTCCAAGTTCCAGCTGAGAATTTGGCTCCTTCCTGAATCTAGGCCTGTTTTGCCAAATATATGTGATGTATTAAATATGCTTTACACATTCAGGTCAACTCATTTATATTATTTCATACAAATCTGTTTCACATGTCTGGTTGTTGTTGTTGTTGTTCTTGAAGTTAGGAGGACCTGTGTTCAAATCGAGACTCAGACACTAGCTGTACGACCCTTGGCAAATCATTTGACTGGCATTTCTCTTATCAGATATGATTTGGAGCATTTTTCATTGACTATTGATAACTTTAATTTCTTCTGAAAATTGCATATTCATATGCTTTGACTATTTATCACCAGGTTAACAACTTTTACTTTTTATACATTTGGCTCAGTATCTTATATTAGAGAAATGAGGACTTTATGAGAAAAACTTGCTGTAAAATTTTTTCCTCAGTTTCCTATTTTCCTTCTAATTTTGACTTCATTGGTTGTATTTTTGCAATAGACTTTTTAAAATTTCATGTAAATAAAATTATTCATTTTATGTCCTATGAAGTTCTCTATCTCTTGTTTGGTGATAAATGTCCCTTATACATAGATCTGACAAGTATATTTTCCCATGATACCCTGATTTACTTATGATACCATGTTTTATGTCTAAAATATTATCCATTTTGACCTCATCTTGGCAATGGTGTGAGAGTATTCTATGCCTAGCTTCTCTCAAAGAGCTTTCTAGTTTCCTCAGCAATTTTTGTTGAATGATGAGTTCTTGTCCCCAAAACTTTGTGTTTATTAAACATTAAATTACTATGGGGAAGTACTACATATAGTGTGTACCTAAGCTATTCCACTGATACACTTTTTAATTTCTTAGGAAGGAAAAGATTATTTTAATGGTTATCACTTTGTCATAAGAATCCCTGGAAAAGTTCTAAAATGATTTTCAAATTCAAATAAGAATGATAGAGGAAAATTAGGTAAAGAAATGAAAGCAAAGGAAGGATATTACAAAAGACATTTAATGGCTTGGTAAAAGAGCAAAAAAAAGTAATGAAGAAAATAACACCTTAAAAAAAAGTACTGGGCCAAATGGAAAAAAAGGTGCGGAAGTTCACTGATGAAAATAACTCCTTAAAAAGTAGACATGGCAGGGGCAGCAAGGTGGTGCAGTGGATAGAGTACTGGCCCTGGTCACGAGAATCTGAGTTCAAATCTGGCCTCAGACACATGAACTTACTAGCTATGTGACCCTGGGCAAGTCACTTAACCCCATTGCCTAGACAAAAAAAAAAAAAAATAGACTTGGCCAAATGATAAAAGAGGTCTACCTCACTGAATAAAATAGCTCCTTAAAATTTTGAATTGGGCAAGTGGAAATCAATGACTCAATGAGACAGCACAACAATAATAAAAAAAAGGCAAAAGAATGAAAAATAGAAGCAAATGTGAAATATCTCAAGGGAGAAACAAGTGACCTGGAAAATAGATTGAGCAGTGATAATTTAAGAATTAGTGGATTAACTGAAAGCTATGATCGAAGGAAGATCCTAGATATCGTCAAGAAAGTGGCAAGGAAAACTGCCCCAATATGCTTGAACCAAGTAAAAAAGATAAATTTTAAAAATCTCCGCTGATTGATGATCATGAAGTTAGACATAACTGAAAACAATTAAACAACAAATTCCTAGTTCTTATAAGAAATATTTTAATCTAGTTTCTCTCAAAGTTAAGTTTAATATTGTACTAAAACTTAAAACTTTTACATAAAATTCAAAACTTAAAACTTTTATATCTATCAAATCATTGAAATTATTTCCTCTTTTTTTTCACCTGAAGAAGGAGTCAACTTTAATGAGCATTCACTATTTTTTTTATTCCATAACTATTCAGACTCCATGGTTATTTTTTCTGGATGTGCATAGCATTTTCCATCATGAATCTTTCAGAGTTGTCTTAGACCCTTGCATTGTTGAGAAGAACTAAGTCTATCAAAGTCAGTTATCACACAATGTGGTTGTTACTGTGTTCATTGCTCTCCTGGTCTTACTCATCAGTTCATATATGTCTTTCCAGGTAGTTCTGAAGTCTCGTTGCTCGTCATTTCTTATAGCACAATAGTATTCCATTACATTCATATACCACAACTTGTTCATCCATTTCCCAATTGATGGGCATCCCCTCACCTTCCAATTCCTTGCCACCACAAAAAGACCTACTATAAATATTTTTGTACACGTGGACCCTTTTCCCATTTTTATGATCTCTTTCAGATACAGACTTAGAAGTGGTATTTCTGAATGAAAGGGCATGCAAAATTTTATTGCCCTCTAGGCATAGTTGCAAATTGCTCTCCAGAATAGTTGGATCAGTTGACGACTCCACCAACAATGCATTAGTGTTCCAATTTTCCCACCTCTTCACCAACATTTATGATTTTCCTGTTTTGTCATGGGAGCCAATCTAATAGGTGTGATACAGTAACTCAGAGTCATTTTGATTTGCATTTCTCTAATCAACAGTGATTTAGAGCACTTTTTCGTATGACTATAGATAACTTTAATTTCTTCCTCTGAAAACTGTCTATTCGTATCCTTTGACCATTGATTAATTGGGGAATGACTTGTATTCTTATAAATTCAACTCAGTTCTCTGTGTATTTTAGAAGTGAGGCCTTTATCAGAAATACTGACTGTAAAAATTGTTTCCCAGCTTTCTGCTTCCCTTCTAATCTTGGTTGTGTTGGCTTTGTTTGTGCAAAAACTTTTCAATTTAACTTAATCAAAGTCATCCATTTTGCATTTCACAGTGTCCTTTATCTCTTGTTAGGTCATAAATTCTTCCCTCCTCCATAGACCTGATGGATAATTTTTTCCTTGCTCTCCTAGTTTGCTTACGTATCACTCTTTATATCTAAACAATGTATGTATTTTCACTATCTTGGTATAGGGTAAGAGATGCTGGTCTATGCCTGCTTTCTGCCATACTATTTTACAGTTTCCCCAGCAGTTTTAGTTAAATAGTGAGTTCTTATCCCAAAAACTGGAGTCTTTGGATTTGTCAAATAGTAGGTTACTATAGACATTGGTTGTTATGTCTTGAATACTTACACTATTTCTCTGATCCACCACTCTACTTCTCAGTCAGTACCAAGCAGTTTTGATGATTGCTACTTTATAATACAATTTAAGATCTGGCACAGCTAAATCACCTTCCCTTGCATTTCTTTTCATTAGTTCACTTGATATCCTGGATATTTTGTTCTTCCAGATAAATTTTGTTATTATTTTTTCTAGCTCTATAAAATAATTTTTGGTAGTTTGATTGGTATGGCACTGAATAAGCAAATTACCTTGGGTGTAATTGTCATTTTTATTATATTAGCTTGACCTACCTATGAGCAACTCATGTTTTTCCAATTATTTAGATCTGACTTTATTTGTGTGAAAAGTGTTTTGTAATTGTGTTCATATAGTTCCTGGGTTTGTTTTGGGATGTAGACTCCTAAGTATTTTATAATGTCTACAGTAAGTTTAAATGGAATTTTTCTTTCTATTTCTTTCTGTTGGTCTTTGTTGGTAATGTATAGAAATGCCAATGATTTATGTCAGTTTATTTTATACCCTGCAACTCTACTAAAGTTGTTTATTATTTCAAGTACTTTTTTACTTCATTCTCTAGGATTCTCTAAGTATATCATCACGTCATCTGCAAAGAGTGATAGCTTTGCTTCTTCTTTGCCTATTCTAATACCTTCAATTTCTTTTTGTCTCTTATTGCTAAAGCTAATATTTCCAGTACGATATTGAACAACAGTGGCTGATGGTGGATGTCCTTGTTTCACCTGATTTTATTGGAAATGCTTCTAGCTTGTCCCCCATTATATATGATGCTTGCTGAAGGTTTTAAGTAGATATTTATTATTTTAAGGAAGACTCCATTTATTCCTATGCTCTCTAGTGTTTTTAATAGGAATGGGTGTTATATTTTTTCAAAAGCTTTTTCTATATCTATTGAGATGATCATGTGATTTCTGTTAGGTTTGGTGTTGATATGATCAATTATGCTGATAGTTTTCCTAATATTGAACCAGCCCTGCATTTCTGGTATAAAGCCTACAAGGTCATAGTGTATCATTATTGTGATAAGTTGCTATATTCTATTTGCTAATATTTTATGTAAAATTTTTGCATCTATATTCATTAGAGAAAATGGTCTATAATTGCCTTTCTGTGTTTTGATTCTTCCTGGTTTAGGTATCAGCACTATATTTGTCTCATAAAAAGAATTTGGGAAGACTCCTTCTTCACCTATTTTCCCAAATAGTCTATAAAGTCTTGGAATTAATTGTTCTTTAAATATTTGATAGAATTTGTGTGTAAATCCATCTGGCCCTGGAGATTTTTTCCCAGGGCTTGTTCAATCATCAATGGCTTGTTCAATTTCTTTTTCTGAAATGAGATTAAGTATTTTACTTACTCTTCTGTTAATCTGGGCAATTTATATTTTTGTAAATATTCCTCCATTTC